GGGGTCCTCCTTAGAGTAGTCTACACGGGTGTTATTGCTGTCAGGCTTTCTTGCAGAGCTAAGAAATACATGTATGCATAGTAAGTCACGTATACATCCACTTTGATATTTCTTACCTGTCTGTGTATATAGTAAAGAATATAAGTCACCCCTAACACTTCCCATTCCATTCTAGCATCACAGGGTTCACTTTAGCCATTCCTCTTTGCTTGTTATTTTTGTCTGTGTCAGTGAGAAGCCCGAGTGTTACTGTCTATAAATTACTTATTTGGTCCATTTTTAAAAAGAATTATTTATTTAATTTTGTTTATCATTATTATTTTATTTATATTGTTTAAAGATTTTTGCTATAGGGCCTGTGTCAGAGAGGCAGAAAGTGAGAAATCATTCCCCAGGGGGCATGGTCACACCATGATCCCTTCTCTTTCATGCTCCTCTCTGGATTTTGGGCACACATGCACCCAGTGTTGAGTTTCAAGTCACCGGGAATCGAACTGTGGTCGGCTGTGTGGGAGTCCAGCAAAGTAATCATTACACCATCTGCTTGTCCCATTATTATTATTTTTTAATTTGTTACAGGGAATGTGTGATCACCAGAGAGAGACAGAGAAAGTGACAAAGCAAGCTTCCAGGTCCAGGACTCAAACCACGGTCAGGCATATGGGAGTCCAGCACCTTAGCTGCCACACCACCTGCTGGCCACTATTCGTTCAATTATAACATATACATAAAGTAGTTTCAGGATTATTAACCTAGATCCCTGTGAAAAACATGTTTACTAACTAGATTCTAGGATTTAGATAGAATTCTTTTTGTTTTAGCTGGGTTCTTTTCTTCTTCATGCCCTTCAATGTAGTCATTTTTTTCTTTTTCTTTTTCTTTTTTTTGTTCTTTGTAGTTATGTTATTTTGCAGTGTAAGTAGGTTCATGTGTTATTGTTTGCATTCCATTCTCTTTCCTCTCACATCTTGGAAGTTTTTTTCTTTTACTTCTGGGGTATGCAAAACATTTCTCAGTTTATACAGTCAGAGCTATACAAAATGGCTTGATACAGAGAAGTTTTAACTACTTCTTCATCCCAGCTATCTTGTTCCTGTTACCCTTTTTCTCTATCCCATTTTCAAGTACCTCTCGTGAGTAACACATTTCTTTAAATTCTGGCTTATGATTCCTGTATTTTCTTTTGAAGGAATTGCTCCATTTGTTCCCATGGGAGATACTTTCTCCTCTCTCTCTGTCTCTCTCTCTCTCTCTCTGGCAAGCACATATGCCCTGAGAAAAAAGAAAAAACATAATCCTTACATGCATTTTGCACATTTTTTTGTTAAATTTAATTCCATTTAGTTTTTTATAAATTGTAATTGTAAATGGACACATAAATGGCATATAAATCATGCTCAATGTTCGGTATTTGAAAACTGTTGACTTTTGTGTAACAAAATTTAAACCTTGCTTTTTAACTGAATTCTTTCATTCTATCTCACTGATTCTCTTTTTTTTAAAAGAGATATTTTTGCTATAGGGTGTGTGCACTTGCTGGAGAGACAGAGGAGACAGAAAGCAAGAAATCACCTCAGCGGGGTAGGGGGTGGCAAACTGCAGTCTCTTCTCCATTCTCTTCTCCTCTCAGGATTTTGGTCATGCATGTACACATGCCTGGCATGAATTTAAGCCACTGGGTCCAGGATTTGAACTGTGGTCAACTACATGGGAGTCCAGCAATATAACTATTCCATCATCTGCTGATCTCAACACGGATTCTTTGTAGTTTCTTCTTTATTATTATTATTTTTATTTATTTATTTATTTGAGAGGTTTTTGCCATAGGGCGTGTGCGCTTGCCAGACAGACAGAGAGACAGAGAGACAGAAAGCGAGAAATCACCCCCCAGGGGGGATGGCCACGCCGCAGTCCCTTCTCCTCCATTCTCCTCTAGGGATCTTGGGCATGCACACACATGGGCCTGGCATGAGTTTTAAGCCACTGGGTCTGGGAGGCGAACCACAGTCAACTACATGGGAGTCCAGTGACGCAGCCATTACACTAACTGCTGGTCCCTTCTGGATTATTATTTTCAAATTGTCAAGGACTTGTGCACTTGCCAGAGACAGACAGAGAGAGGGAGAAGCATCCTCCAGTGAGGCATCATCATGTTGAATCTCTTCTCCTTCATTTCTCCATCCAGGATTTGGGGCATGCATGTACATATACATGGTGCATTTTTCAAGTCAGATCCGATGTGGCTGACCTCTTCATTTCCAACGTGATTTTAGTCTTGGCCCTGTCTACTTTTTTCTTTTTTTGGAAAGGTTTTTGCCATAGGGCACGTGCGCTCGCCAGAGAGACAGAGAGAGACAGAGAGAAAGAAAGTGAGAAATCACCCCCCAAGGGGGATGGCCACACCGCAGTCCCTTCTCCTCCATTCTCCTCTCGGGATCTTGGGCACACACGATGGGCCTGGCATGAGTTTTAAGCCACCGGTCTGGGACGCGAACCTCAGTCGACTACATGGGAGTCCAGCGACATAGCCATTATGCTAACTGCTGGTCCCGGCCCTGTCTACTTTTGTATATTTAGTTTAGATAGGTCCTTTGAAAAGATTAAATTCTATCTAATTACCTAAGGCAGTCGTTTCTTTTTTTTTTTTTTTAATGTTTTTGCCATAGAGTATGTGCACTCCCCAGAGAGAGACAGAGAAAGGGAAAGTAAGAAATAACCCCCCCAAAAGGGGACAGCCTGCTGCAATCCCTTTTCCTCCATTCTCCTCCTGGGATTTTGGGCATGCATGTACACACACCTGGTGTAGGTCTTCAAGCTTTTGGGTGTGGGACTCAAACTGTGGTTAGCCAAGTGGGAGTCCATTACCCCAACAACTATGCCACCTACTGGCTTTATGGATTCTTATTGGCTCTGAAGATGGAGAAGTACAGAAGAGGGAAAGGGACTTACCATTTAACCTTTTATACCTTTTTAATTTGGAACCATATGTGTGTATTGCATCCAAAAATACACACATATACACATACATATAAAATTAAATAATGAATACAGCTTCACTTCTTTTTTCTTTTTTTGTTTTCTTCTTTTTTCTTTTTTTTTTTTTTTTCGGAGAGATTTTCGCTATAGGGCGTGTGTGCTCACCAGACAGATAGAGAGAGACATAGAGACAGAAAGCAAGAAATCACCCCCTAGGGGGGATGGCCACGCCGCAATCCCTTCTCCATTCTCCTCTCTGGATCTTGGGCACGCACGCACACGCGCCCGGCATGAGTTTTAAGCCACCGGGTCTGGGACGTGAACCACGGTCGACTACGTGGGAGTCCAGTGACATAGCCATTACGCTAACAGCTGGTTCCCTTTATTTTCTTTATTTAAAAATTTTTTTATTTAAGAAATTGTGTGATCAATACAATGTGGGTGGAAAAGGAATAGAAGACAATTGTAGACACCAGAGACAGTGGGAGAAGAGGGTGGGAAAGGACAGAGGGTCAGAAAGAGGGGTAAAAAATTCTAGGAAGTATAAATGGAAAATTTTGGATAATAATATGCATGATTACGTCACTATGGAGTATATTCTGGATGGGAAATCACATTTTGTATTCTGTGACGATGCTTATAGAAAGAATGTAAATTAAGTTACAAAAAAAAGTTTCAGAAAAAAAAATCCATTTGATGATCTTACAACATAATGTTCTAGGTGCATGGATCTCCCCTCTTACTAAAAAAATTAAAATTGTTGGGTAAAACATTTAAAAAAAACTTTAATGCATCTATTAACTAGTAGCTGTTAGCTAAAGTAGGAAATAAAAGTTCCAACAAACTGAATAAACACAGGAACCTAGAGGGATAAATGGAATTTGAAACTGGCTTTCACCTGAAAGCATTTGCCAAACTAGGTACACAAGCATTACGGTCATAGCTGAGAAGACAAACCTGGAGTTTAGTTTAAATGAAGAATCTAACAGGTTGCCTTCAATAAAGTTGAGATACTTTCTTAGTAAAAGAGCAAACTAAAAATAATCTTCCCACTAACTTTTTCAGCCCCAGGAAATAACTGTGGTGCTGAATTCAGAAAAAACAATCTGAAAATTAATAACCCAAATCAGACCTATATGTAGATTATAGTTGGAATTTATAATATCTACAAGGCACAAAAAACTTGAAGCCAAAGGTTTAATATAAGTAGTCCATGAATTATAGTACCCTGTTGTCTGTTAGAAGCAAGTGCAAGTACTCTCTAAAGGAGTCCCCCTCCATCTTGTGCCTTGACATGTTTCCATAGTCAAAGTTCCAAGGGAAATGAACAAAAATCTCACAGTAAAAGAAACTACTACTCACATAGGAAAACGAGGTACTAGCAGAAACAGCCCATAGCGGAAGCAGATAGAGAATATAAAATAACTGTTTAGTGTTTCAGGAAAACAGAGACTTGAAAATGGATGAAAATATTGAGCGAAAAATACCAAGTCACAGAAAAGCACCTATAGTATGATTCCATTGATACAAAGGTCAAATATGGATACAAACCAAGTAGTATACTTTTTAGGAGTATAATACTCAGGGGGTAAAAACTGTAAAGCAAAGCAAAGAAATGATTAATACAATAGAGGTTAGTGATCACTTCTCAGGAAGAGAGATATGTTCACAAGGGATGCGCTGGAAACTTCTGAGGTGTGGTCATTTTATTTCTTAAACTGGGTAAACAGAATTTATTTTCCTTTTAATTGTACATTTTCCCATATTTTTGTATGTATGCCAAGTTTTATAATAAAAAGGGATTATGTCCTAAAACATGTGATGCATAAAAATCTATATTAATTTTCCCTAAATCTTATTTATAATTTCATTATCAGAGAGTATTTCAAATATATAGCAAAGCTTATACTTTAAGGAAACTGCTTTTCTACTGGTGTGATGCAGCAGTTTTCTTCTTAGGCCTCACAGCAAAAGCATTAGTTGGGTTGTTTTTATTATTAACCTCTTGTTTTTCTGTTTTGCAGGAAAATGAGAAGATGAGGTAAATTGATGAATTCTGGTTTTTCTGACAAGTGAAAACAAATGTAACCAGGATCAAGAAGCTGGAACACTTGATAAAAAATTGTGTTTTTTTCCTTTTTTGACCTTTTCATGCAGTGTTGATATGTCCATTCTTATGTTTAGATATGTGTACATAAAATAGCTATTTTGTAATATTAAACTTTTAAAATCATTTTGGTCATCAAATAATTTATCTTTCTGCTTATTTAAGCTTCTTTCTGACAACCTTTAACTAAACAATAGCTATTTACCTTTTAACCAAATAAAATGTACAAATAAATACTTTTACATTGGTTATCTTATATACCAAGCTATCTTATTTTTGTTTTATTTTTCAGCACTCAATATACATGAATTTCTAAAAGGATTTAAAAGTCCCTAGGGATCAGCAGTTGGCATAATGGCTATGTTGCTGGACATGCGTGCCCAGGATCCCGAGAGGAGAATGAAGGAGAAGGGATTGTGGTATGGCCATCCCCCCTGGAGGGTGATTTCTCGTTTTCTGTCTCTGTCTTTATGGTGAGTGCATGCGCCCTATAGCAAAACCTCTCAAAAAAAAAAAAAAAAACAAAAAACTACCGCC